GTGGGTGTGTGATGCGTGTGTGTGTGTCCCAAAGGGTCCAAGTTATAGTATGGAATATACTTTGGGGGCCCAACTACCTACAAAGTAGCTACCATATAAGTACTTGGACCCTTTGGGTGTGTGTGTGTATGTACGCATGAATAGGTATAGAAACAGGCATTGTGCACATATGTCCTCGTTTGCATATGTACATGCTGATGCGTGGCTGTGTTTGTGCTTTTTTGCCCCCTAAACCCTAAACCCCAAATCCTAAACCCTAAACCCTAAAGCCTAAACCCCAAATCCTAAACCCTAAACCCTAAAGCCTAAAGCCTAAACCCTAAGCCCTACACCCATACACACACGAGGAAAGAGAAAAAAGGGAGTCACACTCCTCCGCGCTTGGACCCGACTAGTTTCATGAGAGCTTCCCAGAGAACCCAATACCCTAAATAGGGACTCCACCTTAAGTTATAGGGTTTTGGTCTAGGGGTTTAGGGTTTAGGGTTGAGGGTTTAGGGGGGAGGAAACCTTAGACTATAGGGGCATTAATGGTTATGATTTGAGGTATATTCCTCAATTAATTAAGGGGTATTGGGCTCTCTGGCAAACCCTAAACCCTAAACCTGGAGAACAACACAACTCCCGCGGCATCCCACGTTGTCCAATTCCAGAGGGAAATGCCTTTTTCTGGTGCTCCAGCCCCATGCCGCAACCCCAAACCCTAACAGAGGACGTAAGAATTTGGACGACGGTTTCAGGGGTATATCATAGTATGAATATTTTGGGATTGCAAGAGGGTTCTTACCTGTTTTGTTTATATAAGTTTGAGGGTTCACGCCTCAAGCCGTGAATCGAAACACAAGCCAGCCCCGGAGCCTGTGCCCGGATCCGAAAACCTAAACCCTTAAACCCTAAAGCTTGAACCCTGAACCATAAGCCCTAAAATCGTCCTGAAGCCCTGCCTGAACTCCACCCCTGATTCGTAGAGCTTAAACCGTTTGCAACGGCTGAAAGTCCTACTTATACGTTATATAGGAAGATTTGGGCATGCAAATACATATATATATATATACACATACATATGTGTGCATGTAATGGATTATATATTCTGTTAAGCAACACCTGGCCCTACATGAAGCGGCACTTGGGATTTCATGCAGGTCTTAAGACTTAGCGTTTAGTAGAGGCTCAGGGCTTTGCGGTGCATCCGTTAAGGATTTCGGGTTTAGGGTTTAGGGTTTCGGGTTTAGGGTGATGGAGGTGGTAGAGCTCAAAACTTTTACTCGAATCAGCCTGTCCGTCGCTGGAGCATCCGACCGGTAGCGTTCCATGCGCAGGAGACCCCATGCAGTGATGTGTCGACAAGCTTGTTGTTTCCCTGGGCTTTCTAGCATATTGATGGAGCTGTTTCAACATGATTCAACCATTCTGTCATGCATGTATAGTGTGTTTTGAAATACTGATTTCGTTTAGGTAGTTTAGGGTTTCGGTCTCTGAACTCAGGGTTTACAGGGCTCGGTATTCTTGGTAGGCTACGTTTCGAGTCTCAAGTAGTGACTGGCCAGGGCTGCATCTCAAGTTGTATTATCCAATATGTAACCCCTGTATAGATATAATTATTTATGTATATATTATGTGCATATATGCATATATATGTGTATGGTATACGTATATAATTTTGTATATACATATGTGTACATATACCTATACCTACTTGTCTAGACGTTGTTTTGCCATCTCTCTCTCTCTCTCTCTCTGTATGTTTATTTACATATGTAAGCATGCATATACAGATGTATATATATATATATTACACATATACATATATATAAACATGTACATACACAAACACAAACACACTCATACACATGCACATACACACACACATGCATACAAACATAAATACAAACATACATACATTCGTTGCTGTTGGCATCGTATACATACATGCATGCATGCATGCATGCATGCATGCATGCATGCATGCATGCATGCATGCATGCATGCAGGCAGGCAGACATAGATACTTAGACAGATAGGTGGATGTACATATACATGTATAGGCAGATGGGTATGCATAAATATCGACTACTTGCACCAGCCCCCAACAAGCCCACTGTGTGAGGCAAGAGATGCGGGATTGCTTAGTTTCCGTCATGAAGGGCTGGTTGTAAGATCTCAGTATTCCGATGTGCTGGCCCATAGGCTTCAAGGTTCAGGCTTTCAGGTTCAGGGTTTAGGCTTGAGGGTGCAAGGGTTTAGCATAGATGATTTCCCAAACATGCAAGGGCCCCTAAACCCTAAACCCTAAACCCTAAACCCTATAGGGTTTAGGGTTTAGGGTTCAGGAACCTTAAGGGCTTAAGGCTTCAAGCTCCTAGAGCTTCTTGGATCTATGGCTTTGGATTTCCAAACTTCTTGGGTTCAAAGACCACAGCCCTGAGCCGTACACGACTCTCAAACAGTTGCGCAGCACAAAATCTGAACTTGCTTAGTATGTGGGGCTTTGGCAAAAAACTGCTCTTATAGGATCCCTAAAGCCCCCTGAAGCCCTAAACCCTAAACCCTAAAGCCCCTTGAAACCCTAAGCCCTAAACCCTAAACCCTAAAGCCCCTTGAAGCCCTAAGCCCTAAACCCTAAACCCTAAAGCCCCTTTGAAGCCCTAAGCCCTCTAAACCTCCTAAGCCCCGGACTCTCTGGGGGTCTGCGCCCCTGCCTTGAAGTTTCACTTGTTGGATCGAGAAACCTCTCTTGTGCGCAGCGGGGAGACTCAAGCAGCCAGAAATGTTAGGGTTTTGGGTTTGGGGTTTAGGGTTTTGGGTTTAGGATTTAGGGTTTAGGGTTTCGGGTGTTAGGTTTT